TCCTCCACCTCCTCCTCCTCCTCCTCCTCCTCTTTCTCCTCCTCCTCCTCTTCAGCATCATCATCATCATCCTCAGCAGCAGCAGCAGCAACAGCGACAGCGACAACAACAACAACAACAACAACCACAACCACAACAACAACAACAACAACAACAACAACAACAACAACAACAACAACAACAACAACAACAATCATTTTAAGACTGGTCCCCCTTATATGCTCGAGTGTCCAATAACGCGTATGTCCTAAACCCTCGATACCCGCCCTCTTCGTCGGAGATCGAACCCCTTTTGGGGGGTATACCGTTCTTCCCTGCAGGCCGGGCCCCGGCAAGCGGCGGGGCGGCCGCGGACCGTCGGCCTGGCCAGCGGCAGCGCTGATCGGCGGGGCGGCCGCGGACCGTCGACCCGACCCCAGGAGGGACGGACAAGGGACCGACCACGACGACGACGACGACGACGACGACGACGTCGAAGACGACGGCGACGACGACGACGAGCGAAAGCGAGCGAGAGACGACGAGCGAACGACGAGGGCGAGCGAGCGAACGACGAGAGAGAACGACACGAAGGGCCACGAAGTACGGCCACGAAGGGACTGCGACACGAAGGGACTGCGTATGGGGCCACGAAGAGTGCGAACGAGCGGGGGCCACGAAGTGCAGATAATGCGGGGCCACAGAAGGCAACTATGGGGCCACTGAGGGTAGCAACTGGGCCACGTAGGACAATGAGGGGGACACAAATGGGGACAGCGGGGCCACGAAGGGCATGCACATGGGGCCACAACGGGCGCGACTCCTGGGTGCCTGGGTCGCGGGAGCGCGGCGCTCGGGCAAATTGCAAGAAATTCCAACGCAAGGCTATTCTTCAGTAAGTTGCAAGCAAGTCTCCAGCGAGAGCGCGACTCCAGAGCTCCGGGAGAGCGATTCCTGAATAAATTGTAAGGAAGTCCCAAGCGAGAGCGCGATTCCTGAATAAAATGCGAGGAAGTCTCGGGCGGGAGCGGGGGTCCTGCCTAAATTCTAGGGAAGTCTCAAGCGGGAGCCGTTGTTGTTGTAACCCAAGGGCCAGGGGGCCAGTTTGAGCAGGAAGACTTTCCCTATCAAAAAACAGGGTGCGAGCGTCGAGGGGCACACTTTGATTGAGAAAAAACAGCATGCACCGGTGAGGGGGGCTCAACAATAATTATTCTTCAGAAATGAGAATTCAACAACAACAACAACAACGACCAACAACAACAACAACAACAACAACAACAACAACAACAACAACAACCACAACAACAACAACAACAACAACAACAACAACAACAACAACAACAACAACAACAACAAGAACAAGAACAACAAACCGGCGACGCCTCCTGGCGCTGGCAAACACGGAATAATCGACCTCGATTACTCCGTGTATCCGAGGCAGATTCGAATTAGATTCCTATTGGAACCTGCATATTGGATGTACGGAATAATCGCACTCGATTACTCCGTGTATCCGAGGCAGATTCGAATTGGATTCCGGTTGGGACCTGCATATTTAATAAACGGAGTAATCGCACTCGATTACTCCGTGTATCCGAGGCAGATTCGAATTAGATTCCGATTGAAACCTGCATATTGGATACACGGAGTAATCGCACTCGGTTACTCCGTGTATCCGAGGCAAGCTCTAATTGGATTCCTGATGGAACTTGCATATACACGGAGCAATCGCACTCGATTACTCCGTGCATCCGAAGCAGATTCGAATTGGACTCCTATTGGAACCTGCAGATTGGATACCGGAGTAATCGCACTCGGTTACTCCGTGCATCCGAAGCAGATTCGAAGTGGATTCCTATTGGAACCTGCATATTGGATACACGGAGCAATCGCACTCGATTACTCCGTGCATCCGAGGCAAATTCGACTTGGATTCCTATTGGAACCTGCATATTGGATACACGGAGTAATCGCACTCGATTGCTCCGTGTATCCGAGGCAGATTCGAATTAGATTCCTATTGGAACCTGCATATTGGATACACGGAGCAATCGCACTCGGTTGCTCCGTGTATCCGAGGCAGATTCGAATTGGACTCCTATTGGAACCTGCATATTGGATAGACGGAGTAATCGCACTCGATTACTCCGTGTATCCGAGCCAGATTCGAATTGGACTCCTAGTGGAACCTGCATATTGGATACACGGAGCAATCGCACTCGATTACACCGTGCATCCGAGGCAGATTCGACTTGGAGTCCTATTTGAACCTGCATATTGGATACACGGAGCAATCGCACTCGGTTGCTCCGTGTATCCGAGGCAGATTCGAATTAGATTCCTATTGGAACCTGCATATTGGATACACGGAGTAATCGCACTCGATTACTCCGTGGATCCGAGGCAGATTCGAATTGGACTCCTAGTGGAACCTGCAGATTGGATACACGGAGTAATCGCACTCGATTACTCCGTGGATCCGAGGCAGATGTTACTTGGATTCCTATTGGAACCTGCATATTGAATACACGGAATAATCGCACTCGATTACTCCGTGTATCCGAGGCAGATTATATTTGTATAGTGCCGGCCGGCGCTGGAAAATCGAGATCCAACAATAACAACAACAACAACAACAACAACAACAACAACAACAACAACAACAAGAATAGCAACAACAACAATAACAACAACACTATTAGAACAACAACAGCAACAACAACAACGACAACAACAACGACAATAGCATCAATAGCATCAACAACAACATCATCACCAGCAGCAGCAACAGCGACATCATCAGCATCACCATCATGATGATTATGATCATGATCCTCATCATCATCATCAGCAGCATCACCATCATCACCAGCAGCAGCAGCATCAGCATCATCAGCATCAGCATCATCAGCAGCAGCAGCATCATCCTCCTCATCCTCATCCTCATCCTCGGTTTCCTCCTCCTGTTCCTCCTCCTCCTCCTCCTCCTCTTCTTCCGCCTCTTCCTCCTCCTCCTCCTCCTCCTCCTCCTCCTCCTCCTCTTCTTCCGCCTCTTCCTCCTCCTCCTCCTCCTCCTCCTAATTCCCCCCTGTCGTTTTTGGCCTCGGGCCCCGAGAGCCACCAGCGAGCGGCCGGGTTTCGTTGCGCCTTGCTGCGGGCGCGGGCGGTGCACGCCCCCCCCCCCCGCGGCGGCCAAGCGCGGGGGGAGCGGGGCGGGCTCCGGGTTTCCAACGGACGGAGGGACAGAACAGAGGAGGAGGAGGAGGAGGAGGAGGAGGAGGAGGGAGGAGGGAGGAGGGAGGAAGGAAGAGGAGGGGGAGGAGGAGGAGGAGGAGGAGCTCAGGAGGAGGAGGAGGGCGAGGACCACGGCCAGGACTGAACGCGGAAATGCCGGTGTCGATCATGATCCTCGTCAGTCTGTGAGGCTCCCTCGCGGAGCGGCGACGGCGGGCAAGGGCCATGACCGAGAGCGGCGCGGACAAAACCCGGCGACATCTTGGTCATGGTCATCGTAGTTCTCTTCTCGAACGGACAACGACGGCAAGAGAGAGAGAGAGAGCAGCAGCACTGTAGCTGGCAGGATGCACTATGAGAGCGCCTGTGGGGTGCGAGTGAGTTGGCCTCAAAGCGCGTCCGCGCTTGAGCCGACACGGCAGCGCCAACTCTGCTCCCCAGGACACAAATCAGAAAAGGGCACGTGCAACCTAACCCCGAACCCACGATAATAAAGTACCCCCCCCTTACCCCCCTTAAGTAGTTTGAGTTTTTTATCCTCGGCCTCGACGGTTTTCAAATAGAGGCGGAGGGCGCGGAGGCCGAACTTCATTATCACGGGGAAAGTTCGCCATCGAGGTTCCTTCCTTCTTATGTTGAGATAACAACATAAGAAGGAAGTTTTGAACTCTCTCTCTCTCTTAGTTTCTGTTTCTGCTCTCTCTCTCTCTTTTTCTCTCTCTCTCTCTCTCTCTTTCTCTCTCTCTCTCTCTCTGTCTCTCTCTCTCTCTCTCTCTTCCTCTCTCTCTCTCTCTTCTCCTCCTCCCCCTGGCGCCCTGAACTTGTTTATCGCTGGGGTTGACTACCCCGGGAAAACTAAGCACATGAGCTCCGCTACACGAGCAGATGAAAATTTTAATTTTCATCAAGCGCTTACAAATTAAATCTAATAAGTTTTGAACTTTGGATTTTCGCTTCCTCCTTCTCCTCTCCTCTCTCCTCCGCCTCCTCCTCCTGCTCTTCTTTTCTTTCTCTCTATATCTCTTTTTATTTCTCCTTCTTCTCGCCCCCTGGCGCCCTGAACTGAGACAAACCATTGTTGAGGATGTATCATACGAGACAAATCATTGCTGAGGATGTATCATACAGGACCAAAGACCAAGGATCCTCAAGATATTTGTTGTTTCTTCCTCTTGATATCTCTTTATGCTGGCTCTGGCGGGCAACTTTTATTATCTCCCCGAAAACCCCGAACTGTATTATCTCTGGGGGGGTTATTCTCGTGGGTTCATGGTTAGTGAACGTTGTTTTACTCGGCGTTTCGAAATTGGGCGAAAGGGGGAGGGTCTGGCTCCGGACCTCTGCTTAAGGCGACTGTTTGCATCAGTGCGTCCCATGGGGGAGGGACTCCACCTGCTCGAAGCAGGCGGCAAAAACAGCCAAGATCTACTCCACGGGGGGAGGGGGGGGGAGGGGGACGCGAGGGCCCGCGCCGATCGGCAAAACACTGGGGAAGGGAACAACCACAAGAGGGCACGTGCAGCCTGTGTCCCTGACTGCTCTGGGCAGGCATCGGAGCTCCTCGAGAGCGAATCGGGGCACGAGAGCGGGCAGGGGGTGGCAAGGGAGGACGCAAGAGGGGGTCTCGGGGGGGGCGGGGGCGAGCGGACCACCGTGGCACGAGGAGGACGATCGGATCACCGTGGTGGCGCAAGGCGGCGAGCGAGCGGCGCTCGGACCCCCGCGGCGCGGGATCCACAACGGTCGCTCGGAGCGGTCGACGCTCGGCGGCCGGGGGGGAGGGCCTTCATGGCCTGCGCCAGCCAGTTCCTGTCCTGCGGAAGGGAGCGGGGGGGGGGGCGCGGGCCAGGCTGGGGCGGAGGTGAGGAGGCGGCGAGAGGGGCGCCAGGGTACACGGGGTGAGATTTCTTTCTGGGACGCCCAACTTCGCGCACCGCGCCCCGCGATGCGCGACGCGCGATGGACTTCGCGTCGTCGCGCCCTCGCGCCGCCCCCTTTGGAAAAGGGCGGCCGCTCTGGCCCGGAGCGCGACGCGCCGGGCGCGATCACCTCTGCGCCCCCACGGGCGGCCCGGGCTCTTGCTGCCTCCGGCTCGCCACAGCGCAGGGCGCAGCCGGCTGCAGGTCGCGCCCCGGCGCTCGAGCCCGGCTCAAGAGGAGCAGGACGCTCCAGGGGGCCCCTGGGCTCTCAGCAGCTTACCGCGCCACCCCTGCAACGCCCTGTCGAACCGCGCCGCCGCTCGAGGGTCGGTGTCCGTGCTCAGGTGCACCCGCGGGCAGGCGTCGACGCGGGCACACGAGAGCCCGACCCTCGGGTCGTGCTCGAAGCAGACGTCCTTGGCGGCCGCGAGACTGGGCCGCTCCACGTGCTCTGGCCGGGCGGCGGCGAGGGCCAGCGCGAAGAGCCTCCACGAGGGTCCCCTGTCGGGGCCACGAGATCTGTGCTTAGGCCGGGCATTTCCTCCTACAGGTGGATTCTGAAAGAGAAATGAGAAGGTGTTTCAAAAATACTCCAAACTTGTCTAAAAATCGTCCCCTGGCAATGTTTTTACTATTTGTTTGAATAATCCTCCCGTAGAGGGACGCGCCCGATTTAAATCTGCGCATATCCACCGCCCCTGGCCAGGCCCACGAGTGCGCACACATACCGTGCCTGGACCCCCGGAGTGGGCCCTGCCACGAACGATAGATGGGTGTTGTATTCCCTCCCACGGGGCCAAAGTTGGGGTCGACCCTCCTCCTCCTCCTCCTCCTCCTCCTCCCTCCTCCTCCTCCTCCTCCTCCTCCTCCTTCTCCCCTCCTCCTCCTCCCTCCTCCTCCTCCTCCTCCTCCTCCTCCTCCTCCTCCTCCTCCTCCTCCTCCTCCTCCTCCTCCTCCTCCTCTTTCTCATCCTCCTCCTCCTCCCCGTTTGACCTCGCGCGCCCCTCGCGCAGGGCGGCGAGGGAACGAGGGGGAGCAGGAGGAAGGCGAGGCCGAGGTGGCAACGACAACAAGCCCAGAGCGCAGAAACGACAGAGCGGGACGGCCGATGGATATGTGCACATGGTGCATGGATCTCGGAGCCCAGCCTGTGCCCCATCACCTGGATGCTCCTGGGTGGCGCCCAGGCCAGCCATCCCGGCGCGCTCCGCCACAAGGCGCAGGCCGCGTGCGCGTCCTCCAGCTGGGCCGCGTACTTGAACAGGGCGCCGCCGCGCTCGGCGGACTCCTCTCGGGCGGCCAAGACAGGCTTGAACTGATAGCAAGGATGCGCAATAAGGATGCAAGGACCTTGGACGCCCGTGTCGAAGCTTTCGAGCGGGGCTGGTTATCGAAAGTGGTATTAAGCATGGGCCCAGGAGGCAAGGATGCACTGGTACCCTTGGGAATGCTACCCTGCCCACCCTTGCCATCGACTTCGACTGGTGTAGGGGCGAAGAAAGGATCACGTCTGGAGCCCTGAAGGGCCCCTTTGGGGGCCCCAGGGGCCTCTTCAGGGGCCCTCAAGGACCCATTCAGAGCTCCGTTCCTGCGGTCCTCGATTCCCCTACGTTTATTGCCCCCACATTACTGACAACCCGATCCTCGATCATGTTCCACGTGGTCCGGTCCCCCAGGGTGTCCGCTGTGAGGAAGCAGGTGGTGGGCATGCGCAGGTTGCGCCAGGAGTTCTGCGCCAGCACGGTCCTGAAGAAACGCTCGATGTTGAGGGGCCTCCCGCTCCTGGGGACCGTGTCGCCTGCAATGGTACGCAGCGGGGCGCTCAGGAACTCAGACGCCAGCGAAGCACGAAGCATCATGAAGTTGTGGTTCACACCGCCGAAGTCGTGACCAGCCTGAGTGATGATGTCGTGTTCGCCCAGCGCTCTCAGGACGTCGGAAGCCCCAGGGAAGGGAACCAAGTGCTTGAGATCAGAACGTGTAAAGACCAAGACGCTGTAGCGGCTCAGAAAGCCGTGCTCTCTCAACACCTCGCCCAACTTGTGGTAGTTGGCCAGAACCTGGGAATCCCACCAGCCCTTTGAGGGCGTAGATGGATTAGGGCGTTTCCTCTTCCAACCCCCTTCTTCCCCTTCGGGGAAGAGGTCATCCATGATCCTTGAATATACCAAGCCCCCTCCCCCACCCGACCGGCGACAAACCAGGGACAATGCCAATGCCCCCCGCCCCCCCTGCCATGCCTGTCAAAAAACAAGACAAAGAGCACTTTGCGGCAAAATCTTGAATCATGCTCGAGGGGCCCGCGAGCACTGTGTGTTGGCTTGGACATGGACGGCGGAGATGCCAGCACATGGCCTGCCGCGCACAGGGCCACCATCCCTGCCAAACACGACAAGGACTGCACGTCGGGGCTGAATCTGGATCATGCGCGAGCACCCCGCGATCCTTTTGCAAGGGCTTCTGACAAGGACGGCGGGGGCGCTGGCCTATTGCCTGCGGTGCGCAGGCCCACCAGACATTACGACGACCCCTCCGCCGCGATTGCGCCATGATTTTCGACGAGGATGGTGGGGGGCGACGTGCCACACCTCGCCCCGGCGTCGCGCACCTGGGATCTGCATCCCTTCCCAGTAGCTGCCTATCCAAAGAGGACCGCTGAACATGCTGAGACTCGGGTGCTACTTGTGCCTTGGTCGGCTGCGAGCCTGCGGGGAAATGATACGGAGAGGGCCTTTTCAGAACGCTCAGAAGTCCCCCGGCCTTCCGAGAAAGACACAGCAAACTTCTCAGAAGGCCGGAGGGTTTCTGAAAAGCCCCGCTGCCTTCTGAGAGGGCCTCCTCCTTCTCACTTCCCTCCCCCCCGCACGCCGCCGAGTGGGGAGGGCGGGTGGGAGCGAGCCAAACAGCTTGCGTCTGGGAGAGGCGTCTTGACCCTTACCCCTACCACCTCCCCTCAGGTCTGGAGGGGGTGTGGCCGCGAGCGGTCAGGGGTCCAAGATAGCCCAAGATGGCTCCAGAGCGGCCCCAGATGGCCCGAGATGGCCTCCAGGATGGCTCAAGATGGCGCAAGATCGCTCAAGATGTCTTCCAAAATGATCCAAGAAGTCCCAAGACCGCTCCAAGACGGGTCCAAGTGGCCTTGGGGGCTCCCCAGGACGCCACAATGATGTTGGCCTTTTCGCCCGTTCGCTTCTGATGGCCTTGCGAGGCCTCAAGATGGCTCCAAAAGGGCACAAGAGACACCCAAGAGGGGCCCAAGAGGGCCCCAAGACGGCCCCAAGAGCACCCAAGAGCGCTCCAAGAGCGCCACAAAAGGGCACCCAGAGGCGATGTTAGAGGATCCACAGGGGCGATGCTGCTAGGACCCCCATCATTTGATCGATGTCCTCCAAGATGGTCCCACGAGGGCCTCCAAGGCTCGCAAGAGGGCCTCAAGAAGGCCCCAAGAGACCCCCAAGAGGTCAGAATGCCCCCAAGAGGCCCCCAAGAGCTCCCAAGATGCCCCCGAGATGCCCGGCGAGGCCACCGAGCCTCCAGGAGACATCCCCAAGCGACTCCGAGAGGCATCAAAGAGGCCTCCAGTGCACTGAGGCTCCCCGAAGTATCGAAACGAGGCCACGCTCCCCCGATAAGGGCAGCGCTCCCCTAGGCGTCGTTCCTGGATGGGCTGGCGCGGATACGCGAAGCGTTAAGAATTACCTGCGTTGAACCAATTCCCAGGGCGGCCGCTTGCTGCCTCCAGAACGGATAGCCCAAATCCGCTGACCCACGCTTGCCTGCGGATGAGCAGGCGCGTCAGATGGTCGGCTGTCCCCCTCCCCAAAGTCCCGGTTGGGGGACACAGGCGGGGGTGAGAGCTCCTCAGCGCGCTCTGTGGGCCCTCAGACTCAGACCCAGTCGAATAAACCAGCTGAGCACCAAGGCCCTCGAAATGGGTCATTAGGTAGGTCAAGATGGTCCGAAATGATCCGTAGAAGGCCTGACATGGCCAAAGTTGGCTCTGGAATTGCAATCGAAAAGCACTAACATGACGCCAACATGACTCAAAGGAGCCACCGGGGAAGCTCTAAGATGGCTGCGCGGAAGGCTCCCGAAGGGCCATAAACGTCAAATTCGCTGCTGTTTTGGAATGAATGTCTTCTGCAAGCCCCAAGTGTCAGCTCAAGATGTCACCAATATCGGCTGCAGTGGCCTCCAGGGGGCCCAGAAGGTCTCAGAAGGCCCCAGAAGGCCCGAGATGATCCCAACACGGCCACGGCGGCTCCTGGCCGGCCCCAAGGACGGCGCCGAAACAGCTTCAAGCTGCAAAACGGCACAAGACCGCCCCATGACAGCCCCAAGACTCCCCCAATACGGCCCCAAGCATTTGCAGAACAGTCGCAAAACTCCCGAAGGGACGCTAAGGTGGTCCCAAGGGGCCCTACGAAGACCCGAGAGAGCCCAAGAGCTATACAAATGTACAGAAAGACCCTGGACGGCCCCGCGAAGGCCCCAAGACAGACCCGATTGGGCAGCCCGAACCGCTATCTCGAAATCCCTTTGGCTGAAATGCGCAAGCCTCTAGAATCCGCCACCAAGCATTGTGCACGGTGGGGCGTGCTAGAGTGCTCCTCCACTGTCTGGCAGTGTGCCTTCAGTGTGTCCACCCCGAGAAAACAGTCCAGCCCCCCTCCTCAGCCGACCTGGGGCAATTGTCCACAACCGCTTCTCCGTGGACACACACTTTTCCCAGGTGGGCCCTGGCTGATGGGTGGCAAGCCAACCAACGCATCAAAACCAACGAACTGCAAACCGAAACAGTCCGAACCCACAACAGCCAAGCTCTCCAAACAAACGTCCCGAGACACAGGCTCGCCCCAAGACGGTCACAGCGTCTCCAAGGCGGCCCCAAGACTGCTAAAGAGAGCATGCAGGCGCTCCACGAGGGTCCGGAGATAGCCCATGATGGGCCAAGATGGCCCCAAGACGCCCCTCGAGGCCCCCAAGATGGCCAAAGAGGGCTTCGAGAGGACGCCCAAGAGGCATTCGAGAGCCACAAACTTTCACGTTCTGCCCGGACAGACCGCAGACTGGCCTTTTCCGGCGCCGGAAAGCCCAAGACGGCCCAAGAAGCTCAGACCTGGGCTCCGAAAAAACCCAAAGGTAGTCCGGATCCCAAGACGGCCTAAGGAAGCCCCAAGACGGCCCAAGAGGCCCAAGAGGCCCCCAACACGGCCCAACAGGCCCAAGAAACCCAAAGGTAGCACCAAGACTGTCCAAGAGGACCCCAAGGCGGCCCAGAAGGCCCCCTCAAGACGGCTTCCGAAGGCGTCAGACGGACCAGGAGAGCCCTAGGGCGGCCCAACAGGCCCTCAAGACGTCCCAAGAGGCACCAACGAGGCCCTCCAGGAGGCCCTCCAGGAGGCCCTCCAGGAGGCCCCCGAGAGGCCCCTCAGATTTGCAGTGGGTCTGCGACTCAACCTCCTTCACGCTGGGCTGCTGCGCTGGCACGGTGACAGAGCTTGCCGCAGGCAGCTGGATATATCCTCAGGGCGCGGTTTCTGGTAGAGCTCCGAGTACACGAGCCGAGAGCCAAACACAGAGCGCAGGTGTTCAAGCCTCTCCTGGTCGTCGTCGAACTGGAGCTGAGCGCAGACCGCTACGTCTGCGGACAGCGGCGCTAGCACCTTGAGCGCCAGATCCTCCGCAGTGCTGCGCACTGCCCGCAGTTCGCCCCAGATGCAGCAAAGTACAGGGGATTGCGAAGCAGTGCGAGGTGCCAGCTGGGGATGGAACTCGGACATCTTGAATCGAATCGACCATGGCACAGAGCTGGCACAACCGTGGCGCTCGCACTTCAGGTCAGGTGTTACGTCTCGCTGTTTACGGGGGCCCCACAAAGGCCGCACGACTGCTTCTTCACGCGGCCCAGAACTTGACCCAGAATGGCTGCGCATTCAACCTTAAGCATGTTTGCGCTTCGCGGTTGTTCGGGACACACGCGACCTCCCCCCCCCCACTCCCTTCAGTCCTTCCAACTCTTCCGTTCCCTTCCTCCCTTCCTGCTTCTCCACCACCTCCCCTTCCACGCCTCATTCCTCCTCGCCTTTTCTTGCGTCAGCCTGGGGTGCGGGGGCTGGAGGCCCCAGAATCCACCCCACTCTGCCAGCACGATCTACTCACATGCTCCGAGCTGACTTGGCGAGCTAGCTTCGCGTTCAGAGTTGACAAGCTGCTTTGGTCAACGCGTGTCGAGGTTTCCGAGCTACTTAATTATGAGTTTGGTGAGTTCGTTGGGCGAACTGATTCGGCGAGATTGGTTACTGGGCGTGCTGCGGAGTGTTGGTGGCAGAGTGTTGGTGGCAGAGCATACTGTTAGAGTGTGGTCGCTTACCAGGGTCGAGGGTCGCCTTATAGGGGGAACCCATAACTGGACCCAGACAGCACAACCAAACTCATCCCATGCCTGTTGTTCCTCCTACAGTTCCTCCTCATCCTGCTCCTCCTCCTCCTCCTCATCCTCCTCGTCATCATCAGCATCACCATCAGCATCATCATCTGCATCATCATCATCAACATCATCAGCATCATCACCGTCATCATCAGCATCATCGTCGTCCTCATCATCAGGAGCATCACCACCACCATCATCACCAGCATCAGCATCAGAATCATCAGCAAAAAAATCAACATCAGCATCAACAGCATCAGCATCATCATCAACATCATCACCATCAGCATCATCACCATCACCGTCATCGTCATCTCCTCATAACTACCATAATCCTCGTCACAAACATATTGTTGTGCATCTGCCTCTTCCTCTGTAACTACTTATGGGTAAGACTCTCCTCTCTCGCCTGGCTGCCTGAAAGATCGCCAGCCCTCTCCGCGTAGTCCCACCAGCCCGGTGTGGCGTGAGTCTTAAGCGTTTCCTCTTCCACCCCCCTTCCACAGACCCCATATCCCTGGGTCTGGACGGAGCGTTCCGCGAGCAGTCAGAGCGTCCAAAATCGCATCGGCGAGGGAGCCACAGTCATTGATTTGACTACGGTGCTGGCCACATGTAGGCCTCCTGGAGGGGGGGGGGGGGGGAAACGCTACTTGGAGCCTACCCTTTCTTTGATCAATCAGCTCCAACATTGCCCCAAGATGGCCCCCGAGGCTCCCCAGGGTGCCCCAACACGGCCCCAAGAGGTGCCCAGGAGGCCCCAAGAGGCCCCCAGGAGACACCCAAGATGCCCCCAAGGGGCTCCCAAGAGACCCCCAAGAACTCCCAAGAGCCCCCAGAGGCACCCGAGACGCCTCAAGAGGCCTCGGCAAAAAGACCAAAGTCACGGATGTTACTAAGGTGTTGGCCACATTTTGGTCTCCTGGGGGGGGCCCAAACTAAGGAGGTTCCCTCATTTGATCGATCTCCTCCAAGACGACGGCCCCAAGATGGCCCCCGAGGCTCTCAAGGGTGCCCCAAGACGACCCCAAGAGGTGCCTAGGAGGCCCCAAGAGGCCCCAAGAGGCCCCAAGATGCCCCCGAGGGACCCCCACGATGCCCCCGAGGGGCTCCCAAGGGACCCACAAGAAGCCCAGTGTGGCCCCCGAGAGGCACCCAAAACGCCCCAAGAGACCTCGGCAAAAAGACCAAAATCACAGATGTTACTAACGTGTTGGCCACATGTTGGCCTCCTGGGAGGGGCCCGAACCTCCCCGTTCTTTAGTCGATCACCTCCAAGATGGCCCCAAGATTGCCCCCGAGGCTCCCCAGGGTACCGATGACGGCCCCAAGAGGTGCACAGGAGGCCCCAAGAGGCCCCCAAGAGGCCCCCAAGATGCCCCCAAGATGCTCCCAAGACACCCTCAAGAGGCCCCAAGTCAACCCCCTAGATGCACCTAAGACGCTCCAAGAGGAGAGGCCCCCAGGACTACCAAGAGACCCCCAAGATACCCCAAGAGGACTCCAAGAAGCCCTCGAAAGACATCCAAAGAGACTGCGAGAGGCACCCAAGATGCCTCTGGCCTTTCTGCTCGCCTTCCTCCTCCTCTTCCTCCTTCTCCTACTTCTTCTGCTTTTCCTTATCCTCCTCCTCCTCCTCCTCCTCCTCCTCCTCCTCCTCCTCCTCCTGCTCCTCCTCCTCCTCCTCTTCCTCCTCCTCCTCCTCCTCCCCCCGTTGCTGTCCGCCCGTGGGCGCAGTGGAGTGGACGCGGGCGCCCCCCCTATAGAGCAGTCCTCCGGCGTGCAGTGGACCAGGGCGCTCCTGACCACGTAGCTCGCTACGCGGTGCCTCTGCGGCGGGGGGGGGGGGGGTCACCCGCGCGGCGAGGAGGGCACCCCCCCCAGGAGGCGGCGGCCCGAGGCGCGCGGCGGTGCTCCAGGGCACCGCGGGCACGACTTTCGCGGTTGGCTTCTCGGGTACGGGTTAGGAGGCAACCACTGGGAGGTCTTCGTCGGAAAGATGAGGGAGAATCGAGGCCCGCTGGGGGGTTGCTACGCTGGATTAGGCCGCGAATTAAGCTGGATCAAACCGGATTGAGCGGGATGAAGCGAGATCAAACGGGACTAAGCCGGATTTCGGACCAGGTCAATGTCAGCATTTGACCTCCCAGGATTTGCATCCGAATCCAGGGCATCGCGGACACAACTTTCGCATTATGTTTCTCAGATGCGAGCTTCTCAAATGCAGCTCAGACCCATGGCAGCATCTGCGCTGCTGCGGGGGAACGAAGCCCCCTCCTACCTCCCGTTTCCTCCCCAACCCTCATCCTGCAAATCCTCCAGATCCTGCAGATCCTTACCATCCCTCATCCTCACGATCCTAGTCCCTCATCCTCCAGATCCTTCAATGTCCTCCTCCTCCTCTTCCTCCTCCTCCTCCTCCTCCTCATCATGATCATCATCATCATCATCACCGCCGTCATCATCGTCAGTAGCATCATCATGCTCATCATCATCAGCATCAGCATCAGCATCAGCATCATCATCAACATCAGCATCATCAGAATCATCGTCATCATGATCATGTACATAATCATCATCAGCATCATCATCAGAACCATCATCATCATCATCATCAGCATCATCGTCATCATGATCATCAGCATCGTTATCAGCAGCATCATCATCATAACCATCCTCCTCTTCATCATCAGCATCAGCAGCAGCATCAGCATCAGCATCAGCATCAGCACCAGCATCAGCATCATCATCATCAGATCATCATCAGCAGCATCATCAGCATCATCATCATCACCCACTTCCTCCTCCTCATCATCATCAGCAACATCAGCATCATCATCATCAGCATCATCAGCATCATCATCATAATCATCATCATCAGCAGCAGCATCAGCATCAGCATCAGCATCATCATCCTTATTATCATCATGAACATGAACAGCATCATCAGCATCAGCATCATCATCCTGCTCCCCCTCGAGGGCACAAGGGGGAGCTCACGGAGCCTGGCGAGGCGCTGAATGTCGGCATGCAGCACCTCGGCCACGCTATGCCGCTGCGCCGGGGTCCTCACCGCGCAGGGGTGGGGCCCTCCGTCCTCCAGGAGGATCGAGGTTACCTCGTAACTATAAGGAAGAGGAGGAGGCAGGAGTTCGAGGAGGAAGAGGATCCAAGAGGAGGAGGACCAAGGTCCCCAAGGAGGAGGAGGCGGAGGAGGAGGCGGAGGAGGAGTGTAGAGGTTACTTCAAAGTCAAAAACGTTTTCGGGCCAGGGGTGAAGCCCCAAGAGGCTTCTGGGGACCTCCGAAAACCGCAGAGTCTAACAGAAATGCCCTCCTCATTCTGTTCCTCCTTCTTCTCCTCCTCCTCCTCCGCCACCACCTCCCCCTGCTCCTCCGCCTCCTCCTCCTCCTCATCATCATCATCATCATCATCATCATCATCATCATCATCATCATCATCATCATCATCATCATCATCATCATCATCATCATCATCATCATCATCATCATCATCATCATCATCATCATCATCATCATCATCATCATCATCATCATCATCATCATCATCATCGCCCTCCACCTCCCCCTCCTCTTCCTCCTCCTCCTCCAGCTGCCTCTCCTCAATCAGATTCCTACCTCCCCCCCTCCGTCATCCCTCTTCCTACATCCCCTCCTCGTTCTCCTTTTCGTCCACCTTTACATCATGTGCCTGCGTCCTACTCCCCTTTAGCATGGTCCGCGCCGATCAAGTACTCCTCCTCGTCGCACCGCCAGATGCGGCGGTAGGGCGGGTCAGGTGGTCATCATCGTCTCATGGCACTTTCTCAGAATGCACGATGCAAACGTTCGAAACGTTCATATCGAAACATTGGCGGCGGGTGATGTTCAAAATTCAGCGCTTGCCATAGCAAAACCAATGCTCCTCATTACGTTTCCCGACAACTACACGGATGGAGGTGGAGTTTCTCCAACATGTGTGTCGTGTCTTCGCACCGCCCATATGTGTGAACGTAGTGGGGGTATGTTTCAAAGTTGGGGCTCTCGCTCGAACGTCCTCACCCTTGATGGCACGATACTGAACATGTGCGTAACAGCTGCAATGATGAAGGGCGGTTTCTCTTCGAAGCGGGGCTCTACGAGCCTACTCCAATAATCACGATCTTGTAAAAGCACCCAAGAGATCAACAGATGGAGGGCAGACCAAGTTCGAATCAAGGCACTCGCTTGGCATGTCCTCGAACAATAGAGCCCTGCATACTGACGGCGATTGGATAGCGCCAGGGAGGGAAAACAGCTCCTTATCAAAACGGGCCCCTAGCCTGAATGACAAGCCATTGGGGCACTCGTCTTTCAGACGGCACGCCGCTTAGTGAGAAGGAAAACGTGTATGGACTTGTGAGGAGGGGTCTCAGCCCTGACGCATGCATGGTTACGATATCCTGAGGTTACTGTCGTCCCATCTTCCTGCTCCTCCCTCCTCCCCATGCTCCCCTTCCACCTTCCTAGATTCTTACATGAGTAGTCCCACTTCTCTCCTGTTCCCCCCCCCTCAACACCACGGTTTTTTCTTAAACTCAGTGGGTATCTCACTTGTGATTGTAATGCAACGGTGTCCAATTATTTTGAATCAGCTGATATGGCAATGGCGGGGCAACCCGCCACCAATCCTCTCACAGCCTCTGGGCGGCTGCGTGCAAGCCTTAAACGGCTGCGAACGGTGGTCACATTGACCCCACCAAGGTACCCCACTTCAACTGAAATGCTCCTCCTCCCCGCCTGATTTCCCCCCGCCTCCTCAGCCTTCTCGTCTGGGAGGGGGAGCTGGAAGGGGGAGGAGACATGGAGGGGCGACTACGGGAAAGGGAGCGGAAGGGGCACGCGGAGCGGGAAGGAAGAGCGAGGAATGGGGAGGAGGGAATCGCGGAGGGAGAAAGACGACGGGAGGAAAGGTGGGGGGAGGGGGAAGCCCCCCTTCCCTTTTCCCACATCCCCGCTCCCCGCCCTGCCCGTCCTCCCCACTCCCTGTTCCCCGCTCCCCCCTTCCGTTTGCCATGCCACCGGTCCCCCCTCCCCGTTCCACGGTCACTTGTCCCCCTCTTCTCCAGGATTTGGGATGGGTCGAGGGCGAGTGCGAGGAGGAGGCGGAGGGAGGTGGTGAGGGACGGGGGCGCTACAGGATTGGAGACGTGGGATTCGTTTCCTGAGTTTCGTTCCACACTCTGTGCTGTTGGCCGCGCTGCCCGCTGCAGCCCCCCTCCTTCGACAAGCGCGTTCGTCTAATCGCAAAGTAACTACTCGCAAATGGCCTGGGCGCACCCTGGGGGATTCACGATACATGACATCGATGCAAACATGGGTTGTTGTCGGACGTTTGCGAGTAGGCACTTTGCGAGTAGTGGAACGCGCTCGGTGACAGAACAGAAGCACCAGATTCAGCATCATCTCGCCTCCACCCTCGCGGGCCAGGCAGGCTGAGGAGAGGGACGGAAGGGCAGGAAGCAAGGGGAAGTGTCTGGTTGGCAGGCGAGGGTGTCCAAGACGAGAGAGAGAGAGAGGAGCAGAGAGGGAGAGGCGCCCAGGGCAAGCGCAGAGGGCCGCGGAAGCGGGGGGAGTGGGGGACCGAGAAACAGATAGACAGAGCCAGATAGATGATCAGAAAACGACAGAGAGACAGAGACAGAGAGGGACAGAGAAAGAAAAAGAGAGAGAGAGACGCACAAATCAACACTGAGATAACAAAAACAAAAAACAAACAAACAAACAAACAAAACAAACAAACAAACAAACAAAACGACACGCGTGTACCGTCCACGTGCGTCCGTCAGACTCCCAGACTAGACGCACACACACACACACAAACACACACGCAAACACAATTCAAAACACACTTTGCGACAGAATCTGGACCGCCCTCAAAATGTCCGCTCTGCGCAG